ATATAAAGATACGTTATGAATTTTAACAATTTGTTCAAAGTATTAAAAGTTTCCATTCCTATTTCCAGTAATATAGGCTAAGCGTTTTTGTATACGTTAACCTTGGCAGTTTTGGCTAGTTGTTATCTATATTGAGACAACTTTTTTTTACTAGTATAAGCTACTACTAAAGTTATTACTAGTACTACTACTAGCAATAATAGCATAAAGGAGTTGTACTAGCAATACTTCTATTTAACCATTAATTTAACTTTTAAGTTCAAAGTTCAGGTTTCAGACCGAGTTCCAGTTTTATTTACATTTTAATACACCAGCCAAACAAAAACAAATAAACAAACAAAACAGTATATATATTGAGCTTTTACTCCTGAAAACTTAAACTTGAACGTATTTTACATTTTATATTTATGAGGAAGAAAAAAATAATAAAATGACGCAAAATTAGTAACGTGTTGTGCAACCACAGCGCTTCATTCCTGACAAAAAAATGAAGAAATGCTGAATCCACCATTAAAATCCTAGAAACAAAGTTTGATTTAGGACTCAAAGAACGAGAAAATAGTTCCGGACTTCCAAGAGTCCAGAACTGTTCTAGATTCGAGTTCTATTTAGCACAGCCCTCTACGCACGAATAAAATGGGAGAAAATATTAGATGCCAACGATGAAATTTGTTGAGGCCTGCTCTTAACTATTTTAAATTAGGTGATTCATTCATAGTGTTGCGTCATCGAGTCACATGACTACTGTGACGCAACGTTTTTAGAACTATCATGTACTTTGGCGAATGTTCTAGTTCTTACTAGATATAGGGTAGGCTGGTATATAAAAGAGGGGAATGTAATGTGTGGATAGACATTGAGTAATTGAACTGCAGTCAGAGAGCACGAGAGACGTTACAGCGTTTGTTTAGTTCGATTGTTGAAGTTGAGTGTATCGGTAAAGTTATATTTGGAAAGAATAAACTAGTTTTATTAAGAAAGGAGTTGTGTCGCTTAAGTTTCGTCGGAACGAAGTTACGGAAAATTAATTAAGAAACGGAGACGTAACAATAGCTTAAGAACATCAACTGAATGAGTATATGTCGAACTGATGATGTTATATTCTGTTCTGTTATACCATTTTTATCACATATTTCAACACGAAATTCAGGTATAATTTTGCTTCCTATGTATCAAAGCACAAAATATAAAGCTGTAAACTGATTTCTTTGAATGGATTTGTAACAGTGCAGATTTCATTTCTGGCTTTATTTCAGTCAGCTTGAATTTACACTTAAATGTAATGGATCGGTATCAATAAAATGAATTGGTTAATCTAGAGTTAAAACAGTAACCCTCTAATAATTAGAATATAAGAACAATCATATTAAACACATTTGTATTTAAGAGATTGATATACACTGAGTGGTCACAAGTAAATAGACACCTAATATTTCGTCATTTAACTGATTTATGCTAACTAATTTGTGTTCAAAGAGCACTATATAAATGAAAATGGTCCGCACACTAATTCTCTTGTGCTACAACATGCCTAGAACTCAAGGTTCTCTCGAATTGTCAGATTTTGTTAGAGGAAGGATA